TCTGCATCGTGAGTTCCAAGCCAGCCGGAGCTCTGTAGAAACAAAGAAGGAAAGGAAAGAAAAAGAAGTGTACACCACAGGCTTGAGTAGACTTGGCTCCTTGGTGCTGAGGCAGGTTAATCCACACACCTCAGGCCACATGTCCTCCTCTTTGGTCAGAGCCTCCCCTGGCTCCCGCATCCTTCTACAGAACCACCCTACTCCTAAGATTTGCTTACAAGGCCCTTGCTTTGTTGTGCAAAGTGGAAGACAACAGAAAGAACAGAGGTTTGTGTGGCAGATGGTTTAGGGAGTTACGAAGTCCAGGGGTGCAGTGCCGGGCCCCTGAGGGCTTCTTGTGACAGAGTAATGATGGTGAGGGGCCATGTGTTACGACAGCTGTCTTAGCATACATGGTGGCACACAGCCTCAACCCCAGCACTCAGGAAGCAGAGGCAGGTAGACCTCTGTGAATTCAAGGCCAGCCTGGGCTACAGAGTGAGTTTTAGGCCAGTCAGGGCTACATAGTGAGACCCTGTCTCAAAAATAGATAGATAGATAGATAGATAGATAGATAGATAGATAGATAGATAGATAGATAGATAGGGACAGCAATCTCATGATGACCCACCAGCCCCACTGTACTTGAATGGATTAATTCTGTGACCTCTCTGAGGTCTCATCTCCAGGTACATCAACCTGTGAATGTGGGGGGCACTTTCACACCACAGCAGAAGTCCTCTGCTCAGGCCAACTCTCCTGCCTTCATCTGATGCTTGTCTCAGGCTGAACTCAAGACTATTGTGTGCACCTTCAGGTTTTGTTCTTCCTTTCTCCCTGGATTTCCTCCCCAGACCCCCGCCAAGACCCATGGCAGGATGACTGTCCCACCATGTGATAGCCGTGTCTTCTTGGCCTCCACAGCATGGGCTCTTAAGTCTCCTGCATCACCACCATCTCCTGGTTTCAGCTTACACAGTGTTTTCTTTGGGGTCAGGGTTTTGAGGGGGTAGATAACAACAGAGAACCCTCAATAACTGCCTCAGCAGAATCCAGCCTCAACAATGGGCCGCATGTCCTCTGGTCCCTGGTTGTGGGTTTGGTAAGTTCCTTTGTACAAATTCCAGTAGCCATGGACCTCCCCAGACTCCCAGGGGTCCTGCTGAGGAACAGGCCTGTCATGGGAAGTGTTTGGCCTGGAGCAGTCTGGGAAAGTATGAGAATGAGTAGGCAGAGGTGAGCAAGGAACAGAGGTCACAGGGCCCTCAGCCAGTGAAAGATGAGGCTGTTGAACATGAGCACAGTGGGGCTTGGTGGGACGTGGAAGAAGATGCTTTATTTTTCGGTGATTTTGAAAAAAGATGATTAAAGTCAAGTTGAGGGCATTCTAGTTTGCTTTTTCTTGCTTTGATAAACATCCATGGCCAAAAGTAACTTGGGGAGGGAAGGGTTACAGTTCACAGTCCATTGTGAAGGAAATCAGGGCAGGAACTCAAGCAGGACCCTGGAAGCAGGAACTGATGCAGAGGCCACAGAGGAGTCTTGTTCCTGGCTTGCTCTTCATGGCTCACTCAGCCATGAAGCACCCAGGACCGCCAGCCCAAAGATGGCACTGCCCACAGTGGGTTGGGCCCTCTCACATCAATCATTAGTCAAGAAAATTCCTGATGGGTTTGCCCAAGGCTAATCTGATAGCAGTGTTTTTTCAACTGAAGTTGTCTCTTCCCAGAGGGACCCTAGCTTGTGTCACTGAGACAAAACTAACCAGCACACAGGGTGGGGTCTCAACAATTGCTTGTCTACAAAACAGAAGATAAGGTGGCCCAGGCTGTGAAGTTGGGTCAGTGAGTACAGATGCTTGCTGCTAAGACTGGTGAGCGGAGTTCAATTCCCAGAACCCACATGGTAGGAAAGAACCAGCTCTGACCTCACACAAGCACCAGGGCACACACGCCTCCCTCCACTCACACGTACACAAAGAAGTAGTTTTACAAAAACATTAGGTGCCCCCATGCTCCATGGAAGATGTGCATGTGATCCTAGAAACATGGGATCAGCTCGTAGGAGTAACTGTGTAGGCCATTGTGCTAATTCTATGGATGAGGAAACAAGACGCTGGAGACCTAAGTTGTCATGGCTGTGAGGCGATAGAGCTGGACTAGAGCCACTGAGTATTCAAGAGTGTAACTGGGCAGTGGTGGCCCACACCTTTAATCCCAGCACTCAGGAGGCAGAGGTAGATGGATCTCTGAGTTCCAGGCCAGCCTGGTCTACAGAGTGAGTTCCAGGACAGCCAGGGCTACACAGAGAAACCCAGTCTCAAAAAAGCCTAAAAACACAACAAACAAACAAAAAACAGATAAAGAGAGAGTGTATGTGTGTCTATGGGGCTGGGAGGCAACTCAGAGGGGTAAAATGCTCACCTATAAACAATCCCCAGTACCCACATAAAAACCTGGGTGTGGAGGCTCACATTTGTAATCCTGGTGCTGAAGAGATGAGGACAGGATGTTGCTTGGGGGTCACCAGCCAGGCTATCTAGTCTAACTGGTGAGTTCCAGGCCACTGAGACTCTGTCTCGGAGAAGAGAGATGGTATTTGGGGGGGATGACAAGGTTGTCCTCTGGTCTCTGCATGCACGTGTACATGCACACAAACATGGACACATACATTTTTAAAATGTGCCACATGATTCACTATGGTCAAATTATAAAACCTACCTCATCAACAGAGATATAGAAGGTGTATTCTATAGACACAGTGAGGTTTATTCAACCTTAAAGATGAGTGAACTATGTCAAACACAGGAAAAGGATGGAAGTGGAGACTACCTTGTTAAATGAAATGAGCCAGGAAGATAAGAATTGGGTTTTTTCTCATATGTAAAAGCTTTGGGGCGGGTTGGAGGATGGGGGGGTGGAGTGTGACTAGTGATGTGGGAGGGAGGGGAAGGGGAAGGGGGATAAGAGAATGTGTGAGGGACAGTATCTGCTCTCTGAGTTCCTTTTACTGGGTGCGGGCTGCTGCTCACAGCCAATCACGTAACCTTGGACAAGTCACTGAGCCTAAGACCTCAAGTCCCTTATCTGTCAGCCAAGGCCAAGGACTGCCTGACCTGGGAACTACTGCCATCCTAAAACAACATTCCGGGGTGCTCTGTTCCCCTTCCAACCCCGAGACGGCACAGAGTGGCCTGGCCTCCCAACTGCAGGCACTGGCACCTCCCATGAGCTGGCTAGGAGTCAGTCTTTTGGGGGAGTGGGGGTTCAGTGGCCAAATGAATCACCGTGAAGAATTCTGGGTAAAAAGATGATGGATGAATGCCCTCCCTGGCTCCCACCACACTCCATCCTTGACCCCTGCCCCTCGTGCTGGGCTGTGGGTACTGGGGTGTGGCCTGCTCTCAGGGGTACTGCTGCTCTGCCTTCCTCTTCTTCCTGTATCTCCATCTTTAAAATGACACTAGAAAAGGCCCTGTCCCGTGGGACTGTTGTGAATCAAATGTTAAAATGCAAAAGGCATTCAAAGCTGGTCTCGGGTGTTACCTACCGTCCATGGCTGTGACCTACCCATCCTGTCTAGAGGAATGCCTCCCTGTAGTGACCCTGCTCAGGAACTGAGTGGCTGGATTTTAGCTGCTCCAGATCAGACCCTGTGGCGACCCCGGGAGCCTTCATTCTCTTGGTGAAACAAGACCACCCTGAGCCTCCCAGAAAAGCGGTTATTTCCTGATTAAAATGATTCCCACGTAACCACAGTCAAGGTGCAACAGCCAAGATTTTCACCCACAAGGCTTCACTCTGTTTCCTGTCTCCACATTCCACCAGGGGCAGATTGTCACAAGGCATCAGATGGCCTGACCATCACTTCCCTGCTCACATGCCACCCTAGAGATGCCCTTGGAGGAAGCAGTTGAGTTCTGAGCTGTGACTCTGCCCCTCCAGCTCGACACCAAGGCCCAGCTATTTCTCACCCCTTGGCTGCCAGTCTCAGCCCCCCCCGGCCCCGCCCCTCTCTGCTGGCACCTGTGGCCAATGTCAGCACCATCTTCTCACACCAGGGGCTCTTGTTTGAAACCAGCTAGGATGGCTTGGCAATCAGATTCCTCTCCCTGCCTGGAACCACAAGCACCAGTTTTCGGAGCACTGAGGAACCCTTTGCCTACTTCTGATTTCAGTGAGGGTTAGCGTGTCTGTCCTGCAAGGCTCTGAGCCTTTCTAGACAGAGACCAGCTGTGTGGAATGATGGCCAGGCCTGGGGGTCTTCGCTGGACCTTCTAGGTAGAAGACTGTCTTCTCTGGGCCTGTCAGTACTGTTCACTCAAGGGACAAGCAGGGCAAGGGGAGTCCCACATACTTGAAAGAGGAAAGAGCAAGAGCCCACATATCCAAATCTCAGGTACCCACCATGTGGCTGATACTCCAGTTGGAGCAGAAATGAGGACCCAGAGCAATTCTTGATGCCCTTTTTGCCTCTCAAGATCTTAAGGGGTTTTACAGCGTCCTGACGGCTCCATGGAGCATTCTAAAACTTCTAGCAGTGGGCCATGCATGAGGCCCATTTATATTTTGATGGACCTAAGGTCCCAGGAGGTGTGAGCTCCAGACCAGGGCTCTTAACTCTGCTAGCAAGGGACTTCAACTTCTTTGCCTCCTAAATGCCTGTTTGAAAGGAATTATGTAATGAGCTTGGGAAACAGAATGTGGAGGGTTAGAACTGTTGGTTTGCATTTGAGGACTTAATAGCCACATTTTCTGTGCAAACTTATGCCTCAAACACTTCTCAGCCAGAGCTGTGGCACAAGCCTGTGGTCCTGGCTGCTAGGCCGGCTGAGGCAGGAGGATATCTTGAAGCCAGGAGCTCAAGGCCAAACTGGGAAACACAGTTAAGATCCTGCCTCACAAAACACCCTTGCCTTCTGGAGAATGGTAGCAAGGAGAACGTGTGCTCTGCTGCTGTGTTGGATGATTCTAGACCTGTTCTTAGCCTGCTGGCTCTCACGGATCGCTCTCCATTTCCAGGTGAGCCAAGAAAAGGGCAACTGCTCTTTCCAGAGGAACCCAACCCCCTGCATCATCCCTCAAGAACAAGAAAACATCTTCCACACCATATTTGCTTTTTTCACCAAATCTGGAAGGAAAGTGTTGGTAAGAAGTTGCTCAATGACTGGGACCCTGAGGGTGGGCTCACAGGAAGGCATGTCGGAGACGAGAGGCCAGTCCTTCTGCTCCATGTTTCTTCTGAAATCTGGTTTTCATTAGCTGACTCAAAAAGATTCAAGGACTGTGATCAAATCCTATTTTTCAGCCCAGGATTTCAATCAAGTTGTTAAATTTATATTCCAAATTCCATTGTCTGACAAACAGAAAACCTTTACAGCCCACCAAACAGGATGTGAATGATTTCTCCTCTAGAAGGAATCTACGAAAGTGTCACAGTTCTTGCACAACACACTGGGGAAACCTTCTAGCAATTTCTATTAAAATTAAACATGTATGCATTCTGCAACCCAGAAAAACATACCATTTCTGGGTCTATCTCCAAGAAGTGAATGCATGTGTCATTGAAAGACACAGGAATGTTTGAAGCAATTTTATAGTAGCTAAAATCAGAGCAATTCAGATATTTATCAACAGTGCGATGAATAAACAGTTAAGTATATTCATACTCAGGAATATTATAGAACAATGAAAAGTATAACTACTCGTGTTCCATACACTACACAGCTTAAGTCTCACGAAATTACACTAAATGAAAGACGTCAAGAACAAACGAACATTCTGGAATATTTTGTGTATAAGAAGTTCAGAAGTAATGAAGGTGACAAAAATGTTCGGTAGCATGATCAGGGTGGTTCTCCAGGTGAAAACATATATAAAATAAGATGTTTACTCACAATTTGTTCTTTTTACTGCGTGTGTTTTACCTCATTGGTGCTTTTCCAAAGCCGGCCTTTCCCGTATCCTGATTACATCTCTTTAGCTCTTTACTTCCACCTAAACACACCCCATACTCATGCACATCTCACACCCCACAGAGAAGCCCAACTATCTGATATGAGAGGTCTGGATTTTCTTTTTTTCACTTGCATACCATCTCAGTTTTGTTTCTTTTTGCTATGACAATACACCTGGGCGTAAGCAATTTAGAAGAAAAGGGGTTAATTTTAGCCCACAGTTCCCAGGGTGCAGCCTATGCAGAAGTCACATGACACCTAGTCACCTTGCATCCACAGCAAACAAGCAGAATGGAAAGAGTTAACACTCTCCTGCTTGTGCTCAGCTCACTTCCTCCACTCTACACAGTTCAGGACGCCCTGCCTGGGAATGGTGCCACCCACAGTGGGCGGGTCTTCCCACATCAATCAGCATAACAGAGACAGCCCCCCACAGGCCACCCTGATCCAGACAGTCCCTTGTGGAAACTGTCTCCTGGGATTCTAGATTGTATCAAGCTGACCACTGGCGCACAAGGCAAGGGTGGCCCGTCTTTTTAAAGGCCCTAGGGGACAGTTAGATATAGTGACATCTGGCTGTGTGCTACACACAACTCCAGGTCAGAGATCAGGCTGAAAACGTCCCCTGAAAGGGAAGCTTCACATGGGCATATATACATGTCACACAGGTATATACATACATGTGTGTGCATATAATGACACACTTCAAAAGGAAAATTCCTCCTTGATCATTGGGAATAAACTTTCACTTAGCAGTCTATGTATCTCCCTGAGAAGGAGTCATACGGCTCTTTTGTTCTCTAAGGCCCCCACTGGAAACAGGCACATGATGAGTACCTGCCACAGCTCTCGCAGAATTGGCCGTAGTTGGAAAGTATTCTTGTTCAAAACTCGTAAAAGTACATCAGGACATGTACATGTTTCTTTTTGAGAAGAATTGGTTCTCCTTGTTAAATACAGCTTTTCAGTAGGATTAACCACAGAACCACTTTCTGCCTAGTCGTGGACTGCCCCAGAGACTAGGGTGCAGAACCCTAGTGCCCACCAGGTCAGAAATCCTTCTACCGCCCTCTGGCGGTGGCAGAGCATAATTACATCTTCTTTAGTTTGTAGGGGGGGCGGGGTATGTTATAGTTGTTTGGTTTTTTTTAAGCTATTTTTTATAGCAATACGATTTATATACTAAATAACAGTAATAGAATTATGAGATATAGTTTTAAACAGAAGAAATCGGGGAAATAGTTCAGGTTACACAACCCCTCCATACAACAAACATATCATATTTGTTTAAAAGTCACTTTTTTATAAATGACTTTATAGGACATATGTATTCTGTGACTAGGCACACCTAATTCCTATTATACTCTGTGTTTTGGAGCTGGGGATGGAATCTTGGGCAGGGTCTGCTATCAGCCACTCCCGGGGCCCTGTTTCTTCCTCCCTCTTGATTTCTTTGTCCTGGAATCGCCTCATTTACCATAAGAGATGCTCTGCTCTGTGGACGGCTTTGGATTGTGTCCGTCTCTTAATTCCATCTGGAAATTTTCTCCTCAGGACTGTGAAAAGCTAGGGAGTTTCTGTCTAACAGTGCGCTGCAACCTTAGCGCCCTCCCTAAAGAAGAGAGCCGTACCATAGACCTGTACATGCTGCTGAACACAGAAATACTGAAGAAGGTGAGTCCCTGACAGAACCCCCGGAATCAGTTTCCTGCAACACTCAGGCTGCTCCTTGTCAAACTTTCCCCACATGCACCACTGGTGATTCTTCCACCAGATGTTGCCAAGAAACAATACCAGACACTCAGTGTTCAAGATTAATCCAAGGATGGGTGACAGCTTATTAGAAATTCGGAATGCTGGGACTGCTACATGAAGACTTGGCCATTCAGCATCTTTACCAGCTTCCCACATTCTCATCTGCCCATCCATTTTGTCATTCTTTAATTTTCCTTGGGCTAGCAGGTAGGGTGTGGTGGTGCACACCTTTGGAAAGCCGAGGCAGATGAAGCTCTGAGCTTGAGGCCAGCCTGGTCTACAGAATGAGTTCCAGGACAGCCATGGCTACATAGAGAAACCCTGTCTGGAAAAACTAAGTGTGAGTGTATGTGTGTTCCTCTTTGGGTTTATAAAACCTCAGTTTCTTGGGGGATAGAATCTGAGATGCTGCTGTTCTGACGAGCTCACAAATTCTGCTGATTTGAGGATCATGTTTTGTTTTTGATCAAAGATTGGCCAGCCTTTTCTTATCAAGGGTTAGCAAGAACTGTTTTAGGCTTTATGGGCCAGATCATGAATGTTCAGTCTTTTGACACTGTGACATACTATGGTCGCATATGAAGTCAGGCTTGAGACTGTTTATTGACTTACGAAAACAACAAACAAACTCTCAGTGTTTTAAATAAGTTGATTTTGTGTTGGGCTACCCATGTTCATCGCTACAGCGGGGCGTAGATGGCACAGATGCACATGCTAATTAAGTCATTTGCAAACATTCAACTCTGCCAGCAGTCCCAGACAATATTCAAATGCAGGGCAGGCTATGTGCCTAATAAAACTTTATCTTTCACAAGCAAGCAGAGGGCCAGATTTGACCCATGAAGCTTAGTTTGCCTGATTGCCTGTTCAAATGATCCCTCAAAGAAGTTGGACTTGTGAATCACAGATCACTTTGCTACTGTGAGTTTATCAAATACGGTTCAAAATGCCTTTCAGCAAATCAGTAGCCCTTAATAGAGGTTTACTGTGATTTATTTTAAGGTAAGAGCTAGCTGAGTGTGAGAGGCTTGGTGCCACAGAATGCTATAGAAATAATTGGACATGAAGGTAAAATATACGTGTTAGCCTCAGAGTTCCTAATTATTTTTATTTGAAAAGACTAATTGTGCATGGTGTGTATAAAGCCATCCACAGGTACCATCAGAACCATCTCGTGGTCAGCTTTTAATTAGACCCAGCAGTGATGTGCCAGCCTGAGGAGATGCAGGCAGGCTTTGGAGGACGGGCTTTGGCTTTACTCTGCTTTCCCTCATTGCTGTAGCTATTATAGTCTCCACATACTACATTGAGCTGGATACCATCTGGGTTCCCTACCTTGGAAAGTGGTTTGGGGAAGTTGGGCTCACACTCAGGGCTTCCCTGGTGTACCCACTTTCTACAGGACAATGTTAGAGGAGGCTAGGTGTGAGCTATACTCCGCCATCCTCCTCCAAGGAGACGCCGCCTCGCACGGTCCCCGAGAGTCTGCATACCTGCCTGCCTGTCTCACCAGTGCTGCTGACAGCTGTATTTCCTGTGACACTCACTTGTCCCCGAGCGATGGCACTGACAGTGAAGACCTCTCTGGCATTTCTTCGCCCTCTGTCCCATGGCTGCTGCTTGGCCTTCGGTCACAGGGGCTGAGTGTAACTGTGAGCAGCTCCGAGCTGGTTGTTCCGAATCTGTCTCCAGGGACCAGTGCTGTACAAGCTAGGGCCTGTAATGACCCCCAAAACTCCCACAGAAAATTAATCAAGTAGTTAATTAAATATAAAATAAATAGAGGATACTTGAAACCAAAATTACAAAACTACTAAATTGCTGGAAGATTTTATGAAACAGAAATATTCTTTTGAATGACAGTCCTCCCAGATGTAGGAAGGACCACATCCCAGGAACTGTTGAGTCAGCCAAACCAACGGAGCCCCAGGCAAGGGAGGTGGCAGCTCTGGGGTGTCACACGGGGCCTTGGAGGCTCATTCTCTGAGTGGCCCTCCAGCAGAACTTAGGTCCAGAGGGCAGCCTGTGACAAGACTGGCTGGGGAGCCACATGGGGCCCAGCTGCCTCTGCGTCTGAAACCGTGTTTCAGGCCTGGACCCTAGCACAGTGCCTTGGGAGAGTCAACCAGATGGCCCTTGGGCCATTGGGTCTCCCTGAGGACTTAGATCAACACAGACCTTGTGACTGGCCTCAGCCTAGAGTTGTGTTTATTTTCCTTTGACCTCAAGGTCTGGCTCCAGACAAGGGAATTTGAGGTTTTATTGTTTTAACCTCATCTAGTTTTCATTTGAAATGTTGGGTCTGATTTTTTAAATCATCATAGGATAGGATTTCTTTGAAAGTGTCCCTAAGGCCTTCTTCACAGCCACCAGGGGCCTGCTGTAAGCCAGCCCTTCATCTGCAGGACCTTTAACCCAACCGTCATTATCACTGTTAATCTCTAAGGTGGTGATAATGATGATTCATAATAGAAAGTACAGTATCAGAGGACAGGGTATGGCAAGTGGGTAAAGGCGCTTGCTGCCAAGCCTGTCCGCCTATGTTCCATCCCCACAATCTACATGATGCAAGGAGAAAACTGACCAATGAACGCTGTTTACTGACCTCTCATGCAGGCTAGGACCTGTACATGGCCTCCAACACTACCACACAAATTAATTATGTAGTTAATTAAGTGTAAAATAAACAGAGGATACATGAAACCAAAATTTAAAAAACTATTAAATTGCTGGAAGATTTTATGAAACAAATATTCTTTTGAATGACTATCCTCCAAGAAGCATTTTAAAATGTATTTTTATTAAGGAAGGGAGTGATAAGGGAAAAAAAGATGGGGGAGCTGGAGAGCTGACTGTTCTTCCAGAGGACCAGACAGAGCTCAGTTCCTAGCACCCACATGGTGACTCACAGCTTCCTGTAACTCCAGCTCCAGGGGAGCCAACACCCTCTGCTGGCCTCTGCAGGCACATGCACTCATGTGTGCATACGCGCGCACACACAAATATACATAATTAACATTAATTTTAATAACCATGCTAGATTTGACCAGTGCATCTATAGCTCTGCAGTTCAAGTGGAGCTCACACACAGGAGCCCAGCACTCCTGTGAGTATCTAGAAACATCACATTAAAGCTCATTAATACAGACAAGTGATACATGTTTATAAAACTCTTAAGCTGTCTTTAAAAGAACAATAATTTCTACACAACCCTCAGGTAAAGTACACTATCGAAAGCCCCCTTGTGCCGCTCCAGGGTGGTCTCTGTGGTTTCCCGGGTGATGAGCAAAGTCCCCCTTGGAACTTATGTCTAGAGGGAGAGGCCTTCGTTGTTTCTTGGTACATTTAGCCAGGGTAGGTGTTCACCCATTTTCTGTTAGTATTACAGGGAGCATGGGACTGGGTGATGGGTAAACAGTAGATGCTCCTTTGTCTCAGTGGCCTTGAGAAGTTCAAGGGCAGGGTGCCTACATAGGTTTGGCCTCTGGTGAGCGCCTCATGCTACACAGTGGCACAAGAGGAGCCTCACATCGTGAGAGCCCAGGTCTCTCCTCTTCTTAGAAAACTGCCACCGTAGTGTTGTGTGACAGACTTTTCCTGTGGAGACATCACACACACACACACACACACACACACACACACACACACACACTCACTCATGGGACGGGGGGAATCTACTCTGAAAGGAAACCCACATCAATCCAAAGTAACAACTGGGCCAGAGTCCAGTTTGGTGGGCCAGTGAATATTTGTTGTGGTTACTACAGGAGTATAGATGAGTGGTCACTTACAGGAGCTAGGATAAAACAGCAAGACAGCCCCTGCATCACTGAAAGGCCCGCTCCCATCACTGAAAGGCCCTCCCCATCACTAAAAGACCAGCTCCCATCACTGAAAGGCCCTCCCCATCACTAAAAGACCAGCTCCCATCACTGAAAGGCCCTCCCCATCACTGAAACACCAGCCCCCATCACGGAAGGGCCCGCCCCCATATAGGTGGCCACCCAAAGACTACAGCCTTCAATTCTGTGAACTGCTTACAGGCAGCTCCACCATCTCTGGTCAAAGCCCCCTACCCCAAAGTCCCCTCCCCCAGCAACTGTTTGCTCCTTTTATAAAGCTGGGCGGGGCTTCCAGAATCTTCCTAGTTTCACCCTTCCAGACATGTGACCTCTCCTTTACCTCCTGCATCACATTAACCTTCTACCTCCTCTTGGAGAAAAGGTTTCAATCCCAGGAAACTGCCATACAGCATGGACACTCCACCCTCTTGACTTGGCCTAATCTAACTACCAGAAGCCTGCCCCTGAATTCCACACAGGCATGGCTCCAGGGATTACATTTCCAACACTTGAATTCTAGGGACATGTATAAACCATAGTGGCTTCCTCAAGTGACAGAGGAACTCAATCAGAAGGTGGAGATACTAAAGACACCTGGCTGGCAGAGCCCAGCCATCCCGCAGGGGCAGCGAGGGGCCTTCACAATCAGCAAGGCCCCATCTGGCCTGGGATGCTGGCTTTTCCTGAGGCCCGAATTTTGCCAACCCACATCTTCTCCATCCCTGCTTTGGAGTCATGTGCTTGTTATCTGGATTGTGGCTTTGAAACTGAGCCTACAGCAAGGTTTCCAGCTGCTTCTGCCAACAGGCAGAGTCTCAGAGGTCCCCCTCTTTGCCCCTTAGACCTAATTTATAAACTAGATGTTTATCTCCCCCACCTTACCACAGCCCAACATCATTCCATCGGATACCCTCTTCGAATGTTCAATGGCTTCAGTTTCTAGAGAGCTTCATTCAAGAGCAAAGAAAGAGTTAAGAATAACTAAGCCTTCATGGTTCTGAGGACTGTGGTCAGGGCAAGATGACTAGAAAATGGGAGTCAGATGCCTTCTGGGGAATGCCGGGCTGGGATTTGTTGCACACAATTAAACAGCTTTATTTATCCTCTGCTCTTTGTGAATATGTCAGTATCAATCACCAGCTATCTAGCCCTCACCACCGGAAACCGCAGGCTTGCATGCTCCTTACTGGTAAACGCAATGGTGACTCTGCGCTCTCCCCCACCCAAAGGAATTCTCAAGAGAGGCTGGAAGTGTGTGTCTTCACGGGTGCCTGTGATAAGGAAGCTGCTAGTTTAGTGGTAAAATGCGTTTGGAATCTTCATGGAGCCCTGAGAGCTCAGCTCTGCGTAGTCCCTCTCGTGGGCGAGTCATTTGAAATCCATCTCACAAAGTGTGTCGTTTCTTCCACAGGACAGCGCTTCTGTCATCCAGTTCATGGCTCGAGCCAAGGTGAAGGTGGATCCTGCCCTGAGAGTGGTGGAGATAGCTAATGGGAATGCAGAAGAGACTCAGGTGAGTCAGCTGCCCTGGGACAGCTCTCCTCAGAGGACTGGGGACTTGGAGCTGGGATCTGAGGGGAAAGAGATTCTCTAAGCCAGGATGAAGGGTTTGTGGTAGACCCAAAGCCATGCCTGCTCTGGCTTCCAGGGCCCCCTGGAAGGCCTCATGGTTCTGTTGTTGTGTTAAAATTGTTCTTAGGACGCCGTTGGTATGCAAGAGTTGCTTGGAGTGATTGGCCAAAGGAAAAACTGTCTGGAAGTATCCTCAGCAGAGCTTAGATTTCCACTCTGAAGCCAGGGCTATTTTTATCTCTCTAGGTCCCTTCCCTAAACTCTCTTCTGCTCCCTGCCTGTGCTGTTCCACGGATAAGCACAGGGCGGGGGTGTTTGAGGGGGGCTTGGGAAACAATTGCTTGCTTGTCTTAAAGAGGCCATGTCAAGCTGCCAAGACCTAGAACCTCTTTCAGGCTCTCTTCCTCTCTCGTTCTCCTTCAAGTTGCCAGGCCTCAGAGCAGGCAGTGAACCTCACAGCTTAGCTGTCTGGTGAGGGAGACACTGGACAAAAAGGGAGGTCTTGGAATTCTGTATTTTTTTTCTTGTTCCTGAGGAGGGAAGGGTCATCCGCTGTTTGACACTCTCCCAAGTCCAGTCCTAGGGGAATAGACAGGGAAGAGAGCCAAGGAACTGCCCTGCTGAGGAGGTGTGCGACCTGCTGCTATTCGGCATCCCCTCCCATGGATTTTACCTTCTCTCAAGGGAGACTTGCCCTCTCTTGGAGAATCTGTATTGCTTTAACAAACTTAGGAAGTGAAGTCAAGAAGAGTTATGTACTTGCACAGAAAAAGATCGAGAACTTATTTTCCAACCACAACAGAGATGCACCATTTCATAATACTGGGATGTGAGGGCTGGGGCAACGGTTCAGTCAGTAGAGTGGTGCAGGGCAAGGGTGATGAATTTGAGTTCCCAGCACCCATGTAAGAAGCCGGATGTGGCAGTATGGGCCCCCAATCGCAGCACTGGGGACATGCAGAGAGGCAGCTCCCCGGGGCTTGGTGGCCAGCCAGTCTAGCTAAAGCAGTGAGCTCTAAGTTCAGTAACATCCCAATCCTGTTCCTATTTCCACTGAGTTTATCATGAGACCATCAGCCAGTCTGAGGTGTCTAAAAACATAGGGATAACAGCACTCATGAGGGGTCAGCCATCTCACGTCAGTGCAGGGATGGTGTCTGTCCTGACCTCTTTTCACATGGACAAGTTGCCCAGAATGAAACTCAAGTCCTCCACTACTCTGGCTGGGTTTTTCTGACAGGTCAAATATTTGGGGCTGGCACTTGTCTCTTTTTTCCTTTGTGTTCTGACCACTTCGCCGGTGGCTCAGCGCCGCTTCTAAAAAGTGAGAGAGCAGTAGCCCTGCCCTGCTCACTGTCACAGCACTGGTTAAAGATCGCTATGGGATGAAACATGCCCGGCATCCGCCAGTAGAAATAATTAACAGGTGTGCGACAGATGAGGTCGCTTGTGTAGGTGGACAGAAAACACTGGATGTGTCGTCTTCACCCAGGGGGCAGAGAGCCGTGGAGCAGCACCGTGGTGTGGGGCTCAGAGAGTCGTGAAGCAGCACCGTGGTGTGGGGGCAGAGAGCCGTGGAGCAGCACGGTGGTGTGGGCCTCAGAGAACCGTGGCACAGCCCCGTGGTGTGGGGGCAGAGAGCCATGGAGCAGCACCGTGGTATGGGGCTCAGAGAGTCGTGAAGCAGCACCGTGGTGTGGGGCTCTAAGTCATTGACTCTCCTGTTTGGAACGCTGTGGTGGTCTTCTCCCTGTCAAGTATTGGCAAGAAGCTGTTGTTGGTTTTTTCATGCTCCCAACAGGGAGGGGAAGGAACACATCATGAGAATCCCAAGAGAGCCCTTCTTGAAGGCCCCTCCCACCACCGCCTTTTTGGTCCATAAACTAAGATTCCATTCTGCAGTGTGTTCTTAACTTTCCTAGTAGGGGAAAAAAAATCTTCTCTGAGTAGGAAGACTTCTGGTTTTAGAAGAAGTACATTCCCCCACACACACATGATTTTTCTGAGCGTCTGGCTCCTGTCAACCGCTCATCTGAAGGGGGATTTCCACAGAGGCTGTCCAGCAGACTTAAATCAGGTGACATTTCACAGCCTCTCAGATTAGGCACCAATTGTAGCCTTGGGCTGATGAGAAAATGTGTCTGTGTCTGGTGTCCAGCATGGCATGGGTAAGAGGAGGAACATCATCCGGGTTTTAACTGTAAATAGCTACATGATAATGAATTAGGAAAATCAAATGCTTTTTCTTGTATCATCTCCCCCACCCCACCCCAACCCCCATGCTGGGAATCAAGCCTGGATGTAGCTGGAAGTTTTCCTGTGTCCCTAAGCCGCTTTGTCCCAAATAAACACACAGAGGCTTATATTAATTACAAACTGTTTGGTCTATGACTTAGGCTTATTGCTAACTAACTCTTTTATCTTAAATTAACCCATTTCTATTAATCTATGTATCGCCAAGAGCAGCTTCTTTATTATCCAATGATAGCAACACATATTCACAGCATACGGAAAGACTACCCCACAGCACCTGGGGCCTTAAACATGTCAGGCAAGTGGTCTGCCCTAAGGTCCATCCTCGGCATGCGTGTCTTTTATGTTTATGTCATGGTGCAGCAGTGATTTACAAGGCATCTGCCCATCACTAGACATATGCAGTGTATTTTTTGAGGACTTGCTCCTTAATGAATCCATCAGAGATGTTTACTCTTAATTACTTTTCTTTTGCTGTGATAAGACATCACACCTGAGGCAACTTATAAAAGAGATTTATTTGTGGCTGACGATGTTAGAGGGTGAGTCCGTGAGCATCATAGTGAGGAACGTGGCAGCAAGCAGGAGGGCCTGGCACTGGAGCCTGGCACTGGAGCCTGGCACTGGAGCCTGGCACTGGACAGCCCCTCCTAGCTCACACCTTGATCCACAATCACTAGGCAGAGACAGATAACTAGGAATGGTGCAGACTTTTGAAACCTCAAAGCCCACCTCCAGTGACACACCTCCTCCAACAAGGCCATGCCTTCCAATCCTTCCCAAGTAGTTCCAACAACTGGGGACCAAGTGTTCAAACATATGGTGGCCATTTTCATTTAAACCACCACACTCACCAGAAGTAACATCTAAGATTAACTTCAATGGCACTTGTCTGGTCCATGCTGTCTCCATCCTGAGGACCTTGATGGGGTCTTGATGACCACAAGGTCAAAGGGCTGGTTGTGAGGAGCCAATAACATGAGCTAGAATTTGACCGTATCTGAGAGCTCTTGAAATTGCCAGGAGAACCAGACTGTGAGGGTATGAAAGAAATCAGGAAGCCTGATGAGCCAGGGCCATGCTGAGTTCAGCCCTGGGCTGAAGAACTCAATGCCCTGGGCTCTGGAGTCAGGCAGGAGCCTCTCACCAGCTAACGCTGGAACTCTGTACCTGGGGACCAGGCCACTGGTGTTATCAGCTGTTCTGGCAGGGAGACAGGGCCCATCATTCCCTGTGACTCACTGCATGGGGAGGAGAGCCAACACTGGGCCATAGATAGTGACAGTTGTCCCCTTCAATGTGCTCCAGGAGTCGTGAAGGGCAGTGACCAGTCAGCCAAGCTTGCATCTGAGCAAGAGTCAGACACTTGGACCCCTTGTTGAGGGGAGCTTCCAGGGCAAGCAGCCATCTTAATGAGAGAGCATGGGAGCCTTGTCCAAGGATGACTGGCAGGCTCTGTGTGCGTTGCTCTCTTTTGAGAACTGTGAGTTGGGCGTGGTGACCCACCTGAAGTCCCAGCACTTGGGAGGCAGAAGCAAGAGGATCTTGAACTTGAGGCCAGCCTTGGCTACCTAGCAAGATCCTGTCTGAAAACAGAACAAAAGAATGTGCTAGAATGAGCAAGCTTCTGGGCCAATGTGACAGGAAATACATTTGGGGCCTTTTGTCTTCTACCATGGAGCCATGTGTTCCTCCTGCATGTGGGGATATGGATCATTAATTCAGAGAAGTCCCTAGAAAATCCACAGTACCCTTCTGTGTGAATAAAGGAGTCTGCAACTCAAAGAGAAAATAATTGATTAAAGATCTCACACTGGCTGAGCCAAGAGTAGTGTCTGGACCGCTGGACTCGCAGCCTGGAGGTCCCTTTCCCTCTGCCTTGTACGCACTCAGTCATGTGCTGATGAGGTGCCCAACCACTCTGGGTGAATGAGCTGAGATCAAGGCAAAGATGCTCGTTACGAAAAGGAAATAATTGGCTTGTTTTAAGTTATTTGTTTAAACTGCAGAGTCCAGCCAGCTCCTTCCCCCTAGACACTGATCTCCTCTTCCCAACTGGGGTTTTCCTTCCTCAGGCTAGGTCAGATCCTGGAAGGAAGCTTCCTTCCTGCATCCTATGTGCATGCCTGAATAAGCCTGCCCTGCCAAATCAGTCAGGACAGCACATTCCCAGTGCATGTGCTCTGAAGCCATCCTTTCAGAAGGTCAGGCCTGGGCTTCCGCTTTTTCCTTCATGCCTCCTCTTAAGAATCAGAAATTCCCAAGTTGACATCCTAACTCAGTAACTTGGAGATCAGAGAAGCACCAAGCCTCAGTTTTCTTGTCTATAACATGGGAAAGATGCTTTCTGTTTCCCTGGAGTTGTTGGAAGGCTTCAACAACACCAGTGAGAAGTCCCTAGAAGGGTCTGGAGAGACAGCTCAGAAGTTAAGAACACTTACTGCTTTTGCAGAGGATCTGAGTTCAATTCCCAGCCCCCACATTAGGTGGCTTACAACCTCCTACGACTCCAGCTCTAGGGGATATGATGCTCTTCTGGCCTCCTCAGTCACCTGCATGCATGGTGCACATACAGACAAGCAGACACACCTGCATACACATAATTTTTATTAATTTAAAGAAGCTTCTAGAAGAATGACTGGCATGCAGTGACTTCAGCACCCTGTCCCTTCCCACTGTTCCCCAGCACTGACCCAACCAAAGATGCAAACCAGAGTACCTCGGCCGAGGGGCCATCCACACACAGCAAAATAAGTTCACTCCAGAGGGTGCCACTTGCCATTCCTTGGCTGCATTGCTATTCAATTATAGTTTTGCTGTAGCAAATTAGTGGTGATTATAGTTAAAAATGCCCTCTATACAGAGAGCGGTTTTTTTTCCTACCTTGAACCTCAAGTTATGTTGTGATTTATTGCCACCCCCCACCCCCGTACCATCAGATGGTGGGTGGTCCTTCCTCTTTACCCACCATCCCCGTGAGAGAATTAAGCTCTGCCCATCAGAAACTGAGAAAACTCCAAGTGCAGTTCTCCAAATGCACAAGTGATGTCTTCCAGTGGCTGCCGTTTAGTCAGCTGGGGGCTGTATCTGAGGGTTCGCTTAGGGTTAGGCGCTGTGCTGGGCTCTGGGGGCGGAATGAGGGAGGAGGTGGACATAGCCATACCACCCACCCTGGGGCCGACTACTACATACAGGGCAGCAAGGGTGTCACCCAACAGGGAAACTGACAAGGGCTTGTTTCCACTGAGTCATTCGGAGCAGAACAGAATCGGGGGGAGGCCTGGAAGCTGGCGGGGAGTGAGCTTGCCAAGCATGAGGAAGCATCCTGGCTCATGAGGGGAAAGCTGTGTGCGGACCAGATGTGTGGCATGTTTAAACCACAAAAGGCAGGAGACAAGACTGAGGACAGAGGCCAGCTCCACAGCACACACAGCCAGTGAGAGCAGAGGGAAGCCCTGGAAGTTCCTGTGTGCAGCAGCGGGCAATGACACGGAATGGTGGATATTCAAGTTGTTTAAAGATGTATTTATTTTTATTTTATGTGTGTGGTGGTTTGAAAGGAAATGCCCCCCATAGGAAATGACACTATTAGGAGGTGTGGCCTTGTTGGTGGAAGTGTGTCACTGTCGGGGCGGGCTTTGATATCTCCTGTGCTCAAGCTCTGCCCAGTTCACTTCCTGTTGCCTTTGGATCAAGATGTAGAACTCTCAGCTCCTTCTCCAGCACTGTGTCTGTCTGCATGCTGTCATGAAAATAATGGACTAAATCTCTGAAATTGTAAGCCAGCCTCTGAATTAAAAAGTTTTCCTTTATAAGATTTGCCATGGTCACGGTGTCTCTTCATAGCAATAGAAGCCCTAAGACAATGTGTATACATGTTTTGCCTATAAATATTTATGTGCACTACTTGCTTTTATTTTTGTGTACCACATGCCTGGTACCCATGGAGTAGCCAGAAGAGAGTGCTGGATCCTCTGGAACTGAAGTTGTGTGTAAGTTGCCATGTGGGAGCTGGGAACTGAACCTGGGTCCTCAGGAAGAATGACAGGTGCTCTTAATCTACTGAGCAATCTCTTTGTGCCACTTTAAACTTTATTGCATTTATTTATCTATTGTGTGTGCATGTATATGTATAGGCACACATATGCCATAGTGTACCTGTAGAGGTCAGAGGACAACATGTAGGAGTTGGCTCTCTCCTTCCACCATGTGAGTTCCAGGGACACAGTTCAGGTCATCAGGTTTGGCTGCAAGCTCACCAGCCCTGATGTACAAGAGTGGGAATGAGGAGTTGGTTAGAAGGTCAACATTCTCACCTGGTACTGGTAACTCTGGTAGAGGAGACTGAAGTGAACAGTGCCTTTTAAGGACAGGCAGTGTGTGGCATGTCGCTCCTGAGCAACTGAGATGAGTCAAATGCTACCTTGTTGCAAAGCCCTTTGCATATTGCATCCACATGGGGGCGGGGCGGTGTAGTTAGTAGCAGCCACCATCATGTAAGAGATGGCCAAGCAAGAGTAAGCCAGACAAACGGAGCCCCACCCCCACTCTGAATCAGTGGCCTCCAGCCACCATCACAATTATCAGCATTGCCCTTTAAAGGACAGACTCCATTTCCACATAGAAATGGACTGTGGTTGAATCAGGAACGGGATATCTGGGACTCCCCCAGAGTCCTTGGTCCCCGAGGAAACCACAGCCATGGAGGATAATTTTTTGTGTGGGGGGTTTTTTTTGTTGTTTTTTTTGTTTGTTTGTTTTTTGAGACAGGGTTTTTCTGTGTAGTTTTGGTGCCTGTCCTGGAGCTTGCTCTGCAGACCAGGTTGGCCTCGAACTCACAGAGATCCGCCTGGCTCTGCCTCCCCGAGTACTGGGATTAAAGGCATGCGCCGCCACCGCCGCTGCCGCTGCCACCACCGCCACCGCCACCGCCGCCACCGCCACCACCACCACCGCCACCACCACCCGGCAAGGAGGATAATATTTTAAAGGAGCAAGATGTCCAGTCCACCACACTCTTCCACTGGCCATTAATCATATCCCTCAATATTTCCAGAGCCCCATCTGGACAGACACACATGTGCACACACATGTACATGCACTGTTGCAGATGAATTGGACCTTCTAAACAGCAAGCAAAAATCAGTCAGGGTGATTTATAGCTGACCCTCTCCCTTAGAAGCAACCTGTGCCTGTGGTGGCCTCAGGAGCACACCACATTCAGATTTAGTAGTCAGTGAATTGTAGAACTCTTCCCCTGTGGCCTTGTCTCTACCCAAGCCACAGATATGTAGTCAGGAGGAGAATTAAGAGTGAAGGATAAAACTCTATGGTAGAGCACTTGCCTAGAATGTTCAGTACCCTCTGTTCAATCCCCAGCCAGAGATGGGAACAGTCTTAACCCTCTGAGGGTTTCTGTGTAGTGACAGACCCTTGTTCCCTTAAAAAGTCTTGTCCTTCAGGAATAAAATCTGGGAGGCTGCTCTGTAAGTTGTGGGTGTGCCAGTGAGGAAGAAAGCAGTTTCTGTCTGACCAAAAATCTACCCCAAAGCACATCTTCCTATGGAGTACTGGCCAGCTTTGAGTCTGATTACTCATCTGATTTCGGCATACTTTCCCACCCCGTGACATCTTTTGTTGAGCCCCTTTACCCTCCTGATGACTCCCTAAGCAGTGGGTCTCTTCACTTATATTCACTATATATTTGTTCAAGAGTCGTGTCTTTAATTTGTTAAAATAGTATGCATCAGTACAGAGAGATGGCTCAGTGGTTAAGAACACTGGCTTCTCTTTGAAGGGAACTGGCTTTTTCATTCCCAGCACCCACATGGCAGCTCACAACCATCTGAAACTCCAGTTCCAGGGGATCTGATGCCCTCTCTGGTCTGCAAGGACACCCAGCACTTAAATGGTGCCAGAAATACATGCAGGCAAGACACCCATATGCTAAGATAAATTTATAAAATGTTTAGATTGTGCATCAACCCAGCTGTGGTAGTTTACAACTGTAATCCCAGCATGTAGGAGACTGACACAGGTGGATTGCTATGAATTCAAAGCCAGGCTAAGCTGTATGGTAAGTTCCAGGCCAGCCTGGGCTATGGAGTAAGACCCTCTCCCAAAAACATAAATACATGCCTGTACACATGCACACACACTACACATAGATACACATACACAGAGACAAATATAATTTATAGAACAGTTTTCATTTTTAATAGCTTGTGTTCTGTTTTGTGGTTAACCATTATTTAGTTAACCTGTGGCCCTCTCCTTAGACCCTTAGGATAGTTCTGATTCTGTATCTGTATGAACAATACTGCAGTGAGCATCTTCCAGTTCTCTTAATTTTCTTAATTGCATTTTATTTATTTTGTATGTTTGTGTGCGTGTGTGTCTGTGTGGGGCACACACATGACTCGTGTGGAAGTCAGAGGACAGCTTTGGGAGTCTGTTTCCTCCTTCCACCGTGCGAACCCCAGGAACTGAACTGAGGTTGTCGTGTCTGGCAGCAAGTACCTTTCCCCGCCACACAGCCCAACATCTCTGAGCATAAACTTTTTTCTGTAGTTTGTATTTCCTGCCTTTGATCATGTTTTCAAGTACAGAATTGACAGGTCAGATGGTGTGAGCGTATTTAAGACAAGCAATTATGGAGCCTGTCACACAACCAGGAAGGGAGGGCATTCCAGGGAGTCAAAACAAGGAGTCAGGGACCTCAGAGGGGACGAGGCTAACTAGCTGGGATGTGAATCCGTGACCTGGGAGGGGCTAGGAAGGAAGGGAACCAGACTGTTACTCTGTGTCCTGAATTAGATGCTCAGAGTGAAGAGAAGCCATCAGTAGAGATGACCGAGGTGACATGTCAGGATCTACGTTCTTAGAGAACAAATTGAGGGGCCCGGGGCTCTAGAGGGGCCTGACACAGTGTCAGTGAAGGCTGGGCCTGACCTGGGGCAGTGACAGGCACGGGAACAGGGAGAGGAGAGGTGTTCAGAGGGGTGTGAAGGTCTGGGCCCTGGCTCCTGAGCGGTGGAGTTGTGGGCTGGTGGTTAGTATGTCTCCACAAATGAGCTCTGTGTGATTTCCCTTCCCTTTTCTGTTCATTCATTTCTTTCATTTGTTTTTAATCTATGATGTGGCTTCTTAGCACACTGCAAGGCGCTCAGATCACTCACAGACTTTATTACAGTCAGGATAGAAGAAATGATCTGCCAAGGCCTAGAGCTCACATCTAAGCAGACCAAGAACATCACTGAGAAAAAAGACAAGACACAAAGCACACATTCCCGGGATGTGACGGGGTGTTCTTACAAAATTCGCCAGACTAAATTGTAGTGGCTATTCTCATCTCTGTATCCACAAAACCAGACCTCCAACAAGGCTTTGCCAAGAGGACACAGCTCAGCGTCCTGGACCTTACAACTAACCCCCCACTGAGTTCACAGCCTGGCTCAGGATCCTGGCAGAGCAGGAGGTTTGGCTGACTTCTGCCTGAACCTCTAGGGAGGGATTGAAGTGCTCTTAATTCACAGGTGCAAAAAAACCGAGCTCAGAGAAATCAAGCACTTTGCCTAAGGTCCCCTGGCTGTTTACACCACCCATCCCCCAAGGTGCCTGCTGGATTTTCTAGGCAGTTTCTCTAGCTTGTCCCCACATTGGAAGGAGCATTTCTGCTCCACTGAATTTCCCTTAAGACAAGTTCTGGATTCTGGTTCTACATGGGAAACCAAAGAGCCTGACTGTCTCGTGGGTAACTGTCCACACCCACCCCTACTCTGGCACGTATCACTCAGCCACCCTTCACTACAGAAGGAACTAAAGATGATCAGATTGGCTTTCCCTTTGGAAGAAGAGGGAGCAAGTGACACCTGAAGTCTGTAAAACCACACTCCTTCTGACCCGTGGGACTGGAAGTGAGCCAGAGAGTGTGGTCAGCATGAGCTACTGCATGGGAAACGCCCCACTCTCCTTCAGGAGCGTAGAGGGACGCTGTCTGGCTTGCCTTTCTATGGTGTGACATTCCCGCTGCAATCTGTGGCAACAAATCACAAAGTCACTTGAGTTGGGAGGAGATGCAGACTTGGCTCTTGAGAGCTGACATAGGCCAACTGTAGGACACCCATGAGTCTCCTTCGAAGTTGAGGAGTGTGCCTCAGGGCTGGAGAGATGGCTCAGCAGTTAAGAGCACTTGCTGTTCTTTTTTTTTTTTTTTTTTTTTTTTGGTTTTTCGAGACAGGGTTTCTCTGTGTAGCTTTGCGCCTTTCCTGGAACTCACTTGGTAGTCCAGGCTGGCCTCGAACTCACAGAGATCCGCCTGGCTCTGCCTCCCGAGTGCTGGAATTAAAGGCATGCACCACCACCACCCGACCTGTTCTTAAAGAAAGCCCAAGTTAAATACCCAGCACCCACCTGAGGCAGCTCACAACCTCTTACAACTCCAGCTCCAGGGGATCTGACCCCATCTTCTAGCTTGGAGCACCTGCATGCATATGGTATATGTACAGATACACACATACCTATAAATAAAAATAAACAAGTGTGCTTCAATGAGATAAGGCCACCAGCCTCATGTGGCTCAGATTAGAAAGGACAGCACATTTGGTTTTTTCGAGACAGGGTCTCTCCGTGTAGTCCTGGATCTCACTCTGTGTAGTCCTGGATCTCACTCTGTAGACCAGGCTGGCCTCAAACTCACAGGGATCCACCTGGTTCTGCCTCCCGAGGGCTGGGATTAAAGGCGTGCGCTGCCGCCGCTGCCGCCGCCGCCGCCGCCGCTGCTGCCACTGCCACCACCACCACCCGGCAGGACAGCAATCTTGAATGAATTCTTTTAACAGGTTAGGCACAGCTGTGAGACCCAAGACAGTGGCTTAGCCCTTGTGTGGTCCACAGTCTATTGGGGAAAATAGTCTTGAGCAAATGATCCCATACTAAGTGGCCCATTAAGTTGAACATTCAGAAGTATTCACTACTTGAGAAACACCCCCATGTCCTTTATTTCAGAACCAGAATGCAAGGTAGAAGATCATCATCTAGTTTTGGAACGTAACACGGGCTAACGTTTTTAACTATACTTTTGTTCAGTTTGTGATATTTGAAATCAGGGTCGTTATCTTTCTAGCCAAAAAGACATGAACCTTGGTCTCATGGTTTCACTTTTGTGTTGCCTTCTAGGTGGTCTTTGAGGCCTTGCACAATCTGGAGCCCCGTGGCTACGTTGTGGGATGGATCATTGCCATCAGTTTGCTGGTGGGAATCCTTATCTTCCTGCTGCTGGCTGTGCTGCTGTGGAAGGTGAGTCTGGTGACCACAGGTGCCTCCAGATTTCCACCCAGGACACCAGGTCACAGGCCTCCCCAGGGATAGGGAACCTAGGAGAAGGTTTTCCCTCAAAGTGCAGGTACAGAGGGGGTCAGTGCCCCCTTCAGGCAGAGGATGGAATCTGGCTTCCTCTTGGACCACTAGAGAGAGAGAGAAGGGGCCTCAATCACCTCATTTTATCTATCCTCAGAAAATCAAACCCATCCCGAATGGTTACTGGTATCATTGCTTCGGAGACCAGTCTGGTCCCTGTACGATGGTTGTTTGCTCCTGCATGGGAAGTGATCTCACTATGGGTGATAGGTCTGCAAGCTGTGCTTTTCCTAGAGTGCAAGGTCACTACGGCTAGAGACAGTGTTATCCGTGACTTTGGCCTGGAAGGCGGAAGAGAGAGCTTAGGTACTGTGGATTTTTACGTGGACACTCATTAAGAGGCAAGCAGAGCCTGACCAGAGGTAAGGAAGCCACCACGAAGGCAGAGACATCAGGCTTTTGTCCTGCTTTGAGTTACCTCATGGGTGCAAATGAACAACCAGTGCTCTTTGGCAAAGCAG